CCACTACGTACTAAATATCAGTGAAATATCTGAAGCGGTATTTTTTCCTAAAACTCCAACACCTCGAGTTTTTGTAAGGAAACATTTTTAAAGCAAACTAACATTAATTTTTCATGTAGATTCACACCTTTTAATATTCGCATAACGTCAATGAACACCCTGTATAGACATATTTCCAGGTTTAGTCGAAACCATGTATAAATTGTATATTTGCGCTAAGAGAAGCGTCCACCGTGGAAGAGCATAGTTTCCGAGTACTTTATCAAATATTAGCCATTCACTTTACGGTCGGTAATATTAGGAATGTGATCCGCTGAATTCACGAGTAAACACTAATCACTGCTTCCGGATATAATTTCGAAGCAGATTGCTCTGCGCCTGGGTCAATACAGCAGCCGACGAGATACGTAGAACTATATCACGCAAAGGAGAACAAAGCCGTTTACCGAGAACTCCTGAGGTGCCTCATTGAATGCATGCATGTTTCTAACCTAAGGCGTTAGGATACTGGAAGCATCCAGGTTACAGAGTGGTTACGTGGTGTTTTAAATTCGACCCTCACCATTGAGGAGAGGTTTCGTATTTAAGTAATTAAAAAATGCTTCATAGAAGGTTTCGAAATGCAAAGTACAATCCGAATTTTACCATAACCGTTTTCCCTGAATATATTTGTAGAGAGATCTCGAAGTAAACTGCACATTATCTCAGCCACCTTTGTCATCTACAAGATGGCATAATTAGTATTTCAATATGACGTTCCGCTTATTGTTCACAAGCTTCAACTTTATTTTTTATCACGGATGCCATATTGTGTTTTTGCACAGATCAGAAGAGATTTTTATTCCGACTACATGATGCGTTCACATTACCAAACTTTATTTATTTCAAAAAAGCAGAATTTCCGAGGTAGGCCTTGAAATTGCCAGATAGTCGTTTGTTTCGCATACTAGGCTTATCCCAAGGTCACTTTTGTTTTCTCCTTGCCTTATTTGATATGAGATTTCAAAATAAATTGCATTGTTTCTTATTCTCCTCTACAAGATGGCGTAGTGAAAGAACAGTTTCTTCTTTCGTCTTCCGTCACCGACCAAGGAAAAGAAAGGTATTGTAAAACCTGAAAATGTTCTTGGTGGTATAACAATAATCATAAATAAGCAGAGGTAAACATAACAGATGTTTAAGATGTTGTCATTTTCTAGGCAAAGCCTGATTCTTCTCTCTACATTGTTCACTGCTCGATTTACTTCTCTTCTCAGTCTTCCAAGCTCTGTTACTACGTCCAATTTGAAGTCTGGTCTAGTACGTATATATGAAATAAATGAATATGTGATAATTTCAAAACCTATCTAGGACCTTCTGTTTTTCTAGAATAACCAAGGTTTGGCAATGTATAATCATAACAATCATAAATCATATAATTATTTACAAACTGTTTATCCAAATCGTTGCATGGGCCGCGGTGGGCCCCAAGAATGGCCACCAAGATCCCCAGACCTCAACGGTTTAGATTTCGTTTTGTGCAGCTTATGATAGAATAAAAAACACTCCAGGAATATTTCAACGAGTGCGCAATTCCATGAGAAGGAGGGTGTAAGCATGCATACTAAGTGAAAGGGGCCATTTTCAACAATTTTTGTAATCATTTCGTTGGTTTCGTTCATTTCTTCCTTCGTCTGCCATCGCCGACCAAGAACATGTTCAGGTATGTTCTTGGTGCTATGACAATAATAAACATAAATAAGCAGGGGTAAATATAACAGACGTTTAAGATGTTGTCATTTTCTAGGCAAAGCCTGATTCTTCTCTGTACATTGCTCACTGCTCGATTTACTTCTCTTCTCAGTCTTCCAAGCTCTGTTACTACGTTCAATTTGAAGTCTGGTCTAGTATATGAGAGAAATGACTGTGGGATAATTTCAAAACCTATCTAGGAGCTTCTGTTTTTCTAACCAAGGTTTGGCAATGTATGATCATAACAATCATAAATCATATTTATCTGCCAAAAATCGAATATGGCGTCCATAAGAAAAAATAAAGTTGATGCTGGAGGACCAGAGACGAAACGTCATATTCGCCATTACAAATAAAGCCAGGAAAAAATTCAAACGGTTCTTTGAAAGTTCATTTTTTCTGTCTCTCTCCGGAAAAAAACTTTCCAAGTGGTATTTTGACAGTTATCTAAATGCGCAACTTTGCCTCCATCTCTTACCGTTTTCGAGATCCCAATGGTAAGGATCTGATCTGAAGCAGCCGGTATAAGTACAACAAAAAATTCCGCTTCGCTGAGTGCGTGATCACAGCGCCATCTTACGGATGTCGGCTGGATTACACAAAAGCTTTCGATATGATAGACCCTGAAATTCTGCTACTGAAACTGTCTTACTACGGTTTTACTGACGATGCACTCAATTTGATAAGCTGCTATTTGTCAAATAGAAATCAAGAGGTCCTAACAACTTCGAAAATGTCACAGACAACTGCTATAAAGTTTGGTGTTCCTCAAGGTTCCATATTGGGACCTTTACTTTTTTCTCTATATATATCGGATTTTCATCAATATGTCCATAACACGTAAATTTATTATGTACTGCATTTTGCATCCACATAGCCAAATAATATCTACTCGTACTTCTGTAAAGCTGAAACTGTGTGAAACATTAATTATCTCAAAGATCAGTTACTTTGACAGTATCTATCTCTTTCTATCATATAGTGAACAAAGCAAATTACAGCGTATTCAGAATTCGTGCGTCAGATTTTCTTGCGGAATACGAAAGTTTGATCATATTTCTTATAAATTGAAGGATTAAAGGCATGCAAAAACTTCACTTATTGACACTCACACACAAGGTCTTAGCTACCAAACAACCACAACTTTTGCATAATAAGTTAACACGATGTAGTGACATAAATCAACTGAATACAAGGAATAGAAATATGTTAGTGATACCCTTACATTATAAGGCTGTCTACAAAAAATCATTCAGCTACAACGCTATTAAATTATATAATGATCTGCCTGTTACATTCCAAAACTATACATTATTTAATTTTAAAAAGAGGCACTAAAGCTAGAAGTCGAGGTTGGTGGTGAATACAAAATGCTAGAGATATGGACTATTCTTGTAATTGTTCTGTTTTTTTGTGTTGTTAATTATTTAGTAATTATTGAGAATTATGTTGGTGGAATGTTTTCTTATATATATATATATATATTTGTTAGTTCAAAGGTTAAGTTAAAAAACGCTAATCTTAGCGACACTTCGCCTTTTTTGTACTTTTACTTAGGTACGAAATAAAGCCCATTTATTATTATTATTAAATATTTGTGCCTAGCACATGCAGCCTAGGAATAAACGCAAATAAACGGATATCGATGGAAATAACATTCATTGGATTTATAACAAACTTAGGTCGCGGTTTTTAAGGATGTCCTCCAACCTTCTATTCTAGGAATAACCCAAGTGTCATGTTTCAAATTTATTTATTCGGCTTACTAGATATACTAAGTGACATATAAATCCGAACACCCAGTTTAAATGGTTTTATTTTAATAAAATGTTGTATAAGTACTTATCGAAGCATAATAAGGAAATGATAAAAATTTCAAAATTATTGCACTGCTTTAAAGCTCTTTGACCTTTAATAATGTGTGGATGCACCCTGATGTGCTACGCATTCTCCAACGCGCCTAGGCATGCTTCTGATCAGGTGGTCAATGTCCTCCTGTGGTATCTCATTTCAGGCAACCACCAACTCCTCTCGAAGTGCTTCTAGAGTCTGAGGAGGACGTTGCAAATTGAGCAATCTCCTAACCATCATATCCCACACGTGCTCAACTGGGGATAAGTCGGGAGATCTTGGTGGTCATGGTAACAATGTGACATCATTATGTTGAAAGAAGTCTATTGTGATTCTTGCAACATGTGGTCGGGCATTATCTTGTTGGAAAGTTGGATCTGCCAGGGTGTCAAGATAGGGTAAAAGATGGGGTTCTAGGACTTCGTGGATATACCGCTGCGCGTTCATGTTGCCTCTGATGAAGATTAAAGGTGACCTGGAACCATAAGCTATAGCACCCCAATCCATAACTCCAACAGTGTGATGAACATGTCTTTCAACAAAAAACTGTGGATTCCTCCTTTCACCACGTCGCCTTCTAACCCTGACACGACCATCGTGCATGCCTAAACAAAATCGAGACGCGTCACTAAAGACAATAAATACTGTTCCATTCCTGATCCCAGAGTGACCGTTGTCTGCACCACTCAAGGCGATTACGTCGGTGTTCTCGAGTTAAAGGGAGGACCCAGTATGGCCTGTATGAAAACAAGCCAAAACTTCTCATTCGTCGGTAAACACTTCGCATGCCGATAGGTCTTCCGTGTTCTGCAAACCATTCATTTGCAATGGACCTGGTAGTGGAGAAACGGTCCCTTAAGGCCAATAATCTTAGACGGCGATCTTCACGGTCTGTTGTTCTACGGCGGAGTCCAGTGCCCCGTGCTCTTTACATGCGGCCTTCTCGAAGCCATGCCTGACAACACCTAACCACAGTGTCTACACTTCTTTGCACTCTAACTGCAATTGCCCGAAAAGAAAGTCCAGCTTCCCGAAGTCCCACTATACGGCCCCTATCAAACTCACTAAGTTGACGAAATCGTACAGGTCTCCGTACTCTAGGCATCGTAACCGATCGTAAAGGATGTCAAGAACCAAAATCCGCCAACGTTGATTCTTTACTGCGGCTGAAATATTCATTTTTAGAGCGTTAGTGAATTAGAAAAAAGCTGTATAAAAACCGGAATGTCCAACTGATAAGGCTGAAAATTGTTTCACTTGTTATTTACAGTAAGATAAATACATTCACCAACTTTTATTAAAATAAAACCATTTAAATTGGGTGTTCGGATTTATATGTCACTTAGTATATTAGTAAATAGTTTGATAAGTAAGTCTAACTAACCAGTATTTCTAATACGAATAACAAGGCCTTTGGCAAGTTATTTACATATACATACGTATTACAGGAATGGGGGATCCCAGTGAACCACATGAAATTTCCAAGCCCAAGGTTCTCTGCGTTGGACATTCGTGTACGACAGCGTTAAGCAAATTTGGACAAACATGCTAATTAAACTGTGAATTATTTAAACTAGCCGCACACATATAATATTGGAAGCCCGATCTACCAGAAATCATTTCTGAAGCAAAATCAATCGCGTTTGGTATTCGTAGTCGATCAGTTAAAATGAGGGTGAGTATACAATATATTGTTGATTTGCAAGCTTTATTTATAATTTAGAAATAACGAGGAATAGTGCAGTGATTACATGAATTTTTCCGTGGGTCTTTTGGTGTCCGTTTTTCTCACCCTGTGAGGTTGAGAATCTGTATAATAGTTAGGAAGTGTGGTATATATTGTGTGATTGAGGTAAATGTAGTAATAATTCATTGAAAAATAACCAAAAAGGCTTTTAGAGACATTAGGTCTTAGAATATTCCATCGTCAGCATAGAGGGTGGTGTAGATTTTTACTCCACTGATGAGACTAAATAAGGACAGAACATGAATAAGGCGATATTAGGATTAGATAGCTCTTCTTATACACTACATGTGATCTTTGCTGTCAAACTTCACTAAAGCCAGCATATTTTTATAGTAGAAAAAATAAAATATACAGGGTGTTTCAGTTTAGTGTTGCATAACTTTAAGATTCGATAGAACTTTCAAAATTAATGCATAAAGTCTATATAAACATGGGTCGAAAAATGCGTGGTTTCCGAAATATAGGGTGTTTAAATTTACTTTTTAAAATAGCTTTTTTTTTAATATTTCGAACAATATTTGATGTATAACAGTGAAAATTCGTATACAAGGGTTTTTTGGTACGACAAAACGAGCCATAGTTTTACTGTAGCCGCTAGAGGGCGCTCTCTACTGTACCTGTAGTGTATTAAAATGACCGAAAATTTTTTCATAGCGGAATTTTTTCCTTTTGAATAAAAAAAACTGATTCTTCGCACTTTTCAACATAAAAAAGCTCTCTTATGAATTTTCGTTATAGTTAGCCGTTTTTGAGATATTTCGATTTTTAAGGTTCGATGCATTTTTAATTATTCATGATAAAATAACGTTAAAAAGTCAGTATCTCGATAATTTTTAGAAGTAGGCTGTGCCTGCAAATATTTTTGAAATTGAAAGCAGATGAAGGAAACGTCAATTAGTTGACAGTTAGTTTTGCTGTGTGTTGAAACCTGAAACGTTTTTTTGCAATTGTGAATGCACGAAATTTAGTTTATTTTACCTGTTTTTTTGTAAGTTTTATAAAAATGCCATTATTATTCTCCAATCAAGAGTTAGCGGATATTCATTTTGTGTATGGCTTTGTAAATGTAAACGCAGCAGAACCAGCCAGAGAATACGCACGAAGATATCCAAACAGACGACATCCAACTCGCTCAGTATTTGTAAGAATGCATCGCCATATAATTGAAAATGGTTTTGGAAATCTCCAAAGGGATCAAAACATAAATGTTCGTCAGCGCAGATTTACCCGTATGATTCTGCGTGAGTTTGATAGAGATCCGACCACAAGTGTTAGGAGAGTTTCTGGTGCCTTGGGAATTTCAGTAGGCCATGTTCACCGTGTTCTTAGAAATGACCATAGACGTCCTTACCATTTGCAACCAGTGCAATGACTACAGCCAGGGGACGGAGAACGAAGAATCACATTTTGTCAGTGAATTCTTGATAGAACTGATAATAATAGGGAGTTTTTAAGTAACGTTTTATGGACCGATGAGTCATGTTTCACTAGACGTGGAGTGGTAAATTTTCATAATCAACATATTTGGTCGCATGAAAATCCGCATGCAGTTCCGGAAAGAAATTTTCAGCATGAATTTAGTGTGAACGTGTGGATTGGTATCTACCGTAATCGACTATTTGGACCCTACTTTTTGCCTGCAAGGTTAAATGCTGCCTTCTTGGAATTTTTAAAGGCTGAACATGCAAATATGTGAGATGATGTTACGTTGGATTTAAGAAGATTGGCCTGGTTCCAGCTTGATGGTTGTCCAGCTCATTATTCGAGAATAGTTAGAAACTGGCTGGACGAAAATTATCCAGAAAGATGGATCGGCCGTGGAGGACCAGTCGTCTGGCCTCCACGATCCCCTGACCTAAATCCATTAGATTTCTTTGTGTGGGGATTTCTAAAACAAAAAGTGTACCAGACTCCCGTAACCACAAGAGATATGCTAATAGACAGATTCAGGAATGCATCTGACGAAATATTCCCTATTTCATCAGGGCCTTATTTGAATAATGCTATACCACGTTCGATCATTCGTAGATGTGAATTGTGTATTGAACAATTGGGTTTACATTTCGAGCAACTACTTTAGATTTTGTATGTTTGTCCTAACTATCCAATAGCATTTTAGTTGTAAATAATTAATTTAATTTGTTAAAAATAATATTGGAAAATTAAACAAATTAATATTCTGTTTTTTTGTGTTTATTTGGAGTTAGGAATTATTGCTGTGTTTAAAAACACAATCTAAACGATCATCTTAATGACTTGTAATGCCCAAATCGAACATTTATAAAGAAATATTATTTTCCCATAAATAATTAAAAATGCATCGAACCTTAAAAAACGAAATATCTCAAAAACGGCTAACTATAACGAAAACTCACAGGAGAGCTTTTTTATGTTGAAAAGTGCGAAGAATCAGTTTTTTATTCAAAAAGCAAAAAATAGCACTAAGAAAATTTGTTCGCTCATTTTAATACACTACAGGTACAGTGGAGAGCGCCCTTAAGTGGCTACAGTAAAACTATGCCCATGGTTCGTTTTTTCGTACCAAAAGACCCTTGTATACCAATTTTCACTGTTATACATCAAATATTGTTCGAAATATTTAAAAAAAACTATTTTAGAAAATAAGTTTAAACACCCTGTATTTCGGAAGCCACGCATTTTTCGACCCATGTTTATATAGACTTTATGCATCAATTTCAAAAGTTCTATCGAATCTTAAAATTATGCAACAATAAACTGAAACACCCTGGATATAGTTTGATATGGTGATGACTCATCCCTTTCCATTGAAACCTCCAACGAAGGCGTAGCAAGTATAGGATCAACCTATTTGACGCCATCTTTTTTTCAACAATTTTTTTTTCTTCCAGCCGATATTCGCCTCCACACTGACAGTCGTCCTTCTCGGTGTTCTACTGTCTCCAGCCGAACAAAAATCCAAACGCTTTATCGGAGGAGGGGGCTTCGGAGGAGGGTTCGGGGGCATCGGTATCCCGGTAGCTCATTACCATCATCCTTACTACCCCAGACCGTACTACCCAAGGCCGTACTACCCACCCCCTCCACCACCGCTGCCGTATTATGGGGGGTACGGGAGACCTAAAGTCATAGGAGGTGGGGTTGCTGGGTTTGCTGTCGGAGGAGTCGTCGGGGGAGCGGGAGGCTTTGGACGATGAGAGGAAATGAATAGTTACCGGCTTTTCAATTTGATAGGAGGCGGCTCTGCTGGTAAACGCTCTGTATCTTTGCCAAATATTGCTGTGATTAAACGTCTTTGAGTGTACGTTACGCCTTTCAATTCACAACCCCTCACCTTGTCTCGAAGCTATTACAGGCCGATAATGACGAGCAAAGGAAGTCAGGTTTCTTTAACAGAGTTCGGGGCTATGTCGGATTCTCAATTTTTGATCTTGTAAATTTTTCTATGCATCTTTTTTATCTTTAAAAAAAAGGAATTTCAAAGGTTGGCTATAACTCAAATTATCGTATTTTTAACTTTTACCTTTCATCCATAGGTCAAACCGATGGACATTTATTGCGGGAAGTTAAAAATTCGATATTTTGAGTTGTAACCAAAAAAATTTCGAGCTACTCAGAGACTTGTTTTTAATTTTACAGTCTTGGTACTATGGGAAATATATTGATGATTATTTTTAAAATAAAAAAAAATATTATAAACTTACATAGCTTCACAACGATAGAAGACAGGTATAAACTTTATTATACAAAAGTTACTAAAAACTCTATGGACAGTCTAAAATTTTAAAAAAAATGTGGGTTTCCACTTAAAAATTTAATGTAACGCAATATCTTATTTTTGGATCACCCTGTATGGCTATAGATAAAAATAAGTCTCCGTAGAAACCAAGATTGACGTGTCCGAGCGCTTTCCCCAAAATAAACCAGGAGAGTCACAAATAAGGCCGCCCTGTATACTGTTGTGCATAATGCTTTTTGTAAATGTTATTCACCCTATTCAGATGATGTTAAATAAATGATCATCAAACTAACTTTTTTGGTGGAGGTGAAAAATAGCTGGGCCAATCCTTTTCCCTTTAGGGATGTTTTTACTCGTATACAGGGTGTCCCAGAAGTCGACGTCAAGCCGAAACCGGGTGATAGGCAAAGTCATAACAGCTATCAGAAAAATATTTAAAAAAAATTATGTATGTGTTTTGAAAATTATAGGTCTTTGAAAAAGATATAGAAATTTCACACCCTACGGCAGTCTGTCAACTCCTGTTACTACAAATATTAACTTTTTTTGGATTTTATTTTTACAATGTAATGATGAATAATGCATCTTCAAACTGGTGTCTCAACCTTACTGCCAATTTTTCTCGTTCAGGAAAAATTGCCACTTATTTCCCAACCAAGTATTCCAAAGTAAAACTTTGCTCAACTTTAACTGGCTGTACTGGAAAAAATGTACTACGAGAGTTTGGCAAGTAACCTTAGAAGTTGGCGCATTTAATAACGATTCCAAAATGTTATAACACTTAGAAGAATACTCGTTAACTTATGCACAATTTTTATTTGAAGAAAAACTGATGAAAATTTTTCAAAATTTCCTAATTAAACAGCGATTATGAAAACGCCCAAGGACCCTTAAGGACAACTGTTTGCAAAACAGTGGGCGTCAAAATGCTGCTGATGATGATTTACCTTTACAGCAAATGCTCAAACTGTTTTCCTTCAGCCGCAATACACGCTCGACATCTTATTAAAAAAGATCGGGTTATTAAACGAGCGAATCCACGGTTATTAACAAACTCAGCTGCTTCCAATAGTCTTTGCCGTAGCTCAGCTACATTTTAAATCGGCTTGAAATACACTTTTTCTTTTACAGTTCCCCATTAAAAAATTCTAAAGGATTCAAATCAGGTGATCGGGCTGGCCACGGTATTGTACCAGACCGCCTTATCCATCTGCCTGGAAAGTTTTGATCAAGATACTCTCTCACTGAGGGTGCATAGTGCGCTGGGCAGCCATCATGCTGAAAACCACATGTCCCTGTAAATACTCAGTGGCACGTCCACCAATAAATTTTGTACATGATTTTTCAAAAAATCCAAATAAACTTCAGCAGTCAAAGTCTCTGGGAACTCAAACGGACCGATTATTTTACCATTTAAAATTCCTGTCCAATGGTTTATCTTGAAGCGATATTGAGATGTATCTTCTCTCATCAAATGTGGGTTTGCTACGTGCCACTCGTGTAAGTTATGCAGGTTCATAGTACTCATCTTTCTTAAATGTGGTCTCATCCGACCATAAAATTTTTTCAAAGAACTGTGGATCTTTCCTGTGTCTTTCTAATATTGTGCGACAAAAAGCAACTCGGGACTCATAATCCCGGGGCAGGAGAGGTTGAACACGCTGTATGTGGTATGGATGAAGCACATCACTTACTTGCTATTGCACACTTTGATACCGATCAGTACTCCTTCGTTTACTGCGCATCTTTACATGTTCGTGCTTGTTGATTTCGTACTGTTACTAATTTTGGATTCGTGAACTGGACTGTTGATCGCTTGTGATTTGGATTTGGACTGTTTATTTGCTCTTCAAAACAACATTTGCTTTCCTTAGACTATCTTTGTTAGTGTGATTGAGCAGTGCCGCTATGTCCGTGTACACCGTACAAGAATATGCTAACATGCACCTTATTTATGGGGAATGCAGATACAACGCTAGTGCTGCAGCGAGACTTTACTGTGAGAGGTACCCGAATGCAGCCGTCATCCAGATCATCGAGTGTTCACAAATGTGCACCTCTTACTGTTCTCAGAGGGCCAGCTACCAAACCAATCACACGGTGAGGGAAGATCTTTCCTTTCTTACGAAGACGTAGTGCTAGGAGCTGTCGAAGAAGACCCGAGTACTTCAGTGGGTGCAATAGAACTAAAAACAGGTGTGCCCAAAAGTACAGCCCATAGAATCTTACAGCGTGTTCAAGCTCTTCTGCCCCGGGATTATGAGCCCCCAGTTGCTTTTGGTCGCGCAATGTTAGAAAGACACAGGGAAGATCCACGGTTCTTTGAAAAAAATGTATGGTCAGATGAGACCACATTTAAGAAAGATGGGTAAATGAACCTGCATAACTTACACGAGTGGCACGCAGCAAACCCACATTTGATGAGAGAAGATAAATCTCAATACCGCTTAAAGATAAACCATTGGACAGGAATTTTAAATGGTAAAATAATCGGTACGTTTGAGTTCCCAAAGACTTTGACTGCTGAGGTTTATTTGGGTTTTTTTCAAAATCATTTAGAAAATTTATTGGAGGACGTGCCACTGAGTATTAACAGGGACATGTGGTTTCAGCATGATGGCTGCCCAGCGCACTATGCACTCTCAGTGAGAGAGTATCTCGATAAAAACTTTCGAGACAGATGGATAGGGCGGTCTGGTACAATACCGTGGCCAGCCCGGTCACCAGATCTGAATCCGTTAGATTTTTTTTACTGGGGAGCTGTAAAAGAAAAAGTGTATTTCAAGCCGATTCAAAACGTAGCTGAGCTACGGCAAAGACTATTGGAAGCAGCTGAGTTTGTTAATAACCGTGGATTCGCTCGTTTAATAACCCGATCTTTTTTAAGAAGATGTCGAGCGTGTATTGCGGCTGAAGGAAAACAGTTTGAGCATTTGCTGTAAAGGTAAATCATCATCAGCAGCATTTTGACGCCCACTGTTGTGCAAACAGTTATCCTTAAGGGTCCCTGTGCGTTTTCATAATCGCTGTTTAATTAGGAAATTTTGAAAAATTTTCATGTTTTTCTTCAAATAAAAATTGTGCATAAGTTAGCGAGTAATCTTCTGAGTGTAATCCTTATTAAATGCGCCAACTTTTAACGTTACTTGCCAAACTCTCGTAGTACATTTTTTTCCAGTACAGCCAGTTAAAGTTGAGCAAAGTTTTACTTTGAAATACTTGGTTAGGAAATAAGTGGCAATTTTTCCTGAACGAGAAAAGTTGGCAGTAGGGTTGAGACACCAGTTTGAAGATGCATTATTCATCATTACATTGTAAAAATAAAATCCAAAAAAGGTTGATATTTGTAGTAACAGGAGTTGACAGACTGCCGTAGGGTGTGAAATTTCTATATTTTTTCAAAGACCTATAATTTTCAAAACACATACATGGATTTTTTTTAAATATTTTTCTGATAGCTGTTATGACTTTGACTATCACCAGGTTTCGGCTTGACGTCGACTTCTGGGACACCCTGTATATTATGTTATGTACGGTTCTCGGGCTTAATGATAGTTGATACTTTTCCACTAAAAGATAAAACAATGCTGCATTTCATTTGTTAACTAACAAACCCATTTCCGTCTGTCTGTCCGCTAATCATTGGCCTTTTGGTTAATTTGGAAAGTCGGGCTTGGGATTTGGATGGAACTCTTACACAAGATGTGTGTGTTCAGTGGTGACGAAGGAAATGTCCACAAACATTGTTTTTTATTTCAGAGGATTTAAAAATAATGTTCAGGGATAAACAAAATTGGTGATGCGGTTATAAAAACCACAGATGACATACTTTCCTCATTTTGCAACAGCATTGTGCATGACAAATATATTACTGTCGTTCCCTAAACGTGCCCATTTTAACCGCAAACAGTTTTAAGACTTTTTCTTCCTTACATTCTGTATGTTTCCCTTGTATTGGTATAAAAAAGTTATCCAAATCACCTCCCGGCGGCTACCTGAACACTTTAGAAGGAACTTGAATTTCTAAATGTCATTAACAATATTGCAACCGTTTTAGCCTCATATCTCTGCACTATATAGTTGAAAAGGTGTTGGTGGAGTAGAAAAGACGTATAACAGCGTATTTTCAATAAATTAATATATTTTAGATTCCTGTATAATGAGAGGTGATGAATTATCCAATGCTCTACCAACGCAAGCAACGACATACTCCTTCGATGCAAACACCAATTATAGCAGACTGTTTTCTGCAGGTTTCAAAGCACTCTGTAACGTTGCATGGTGTTTTAGTATCACTGTCAAATCCTTGGAATATCCTTGGCTTCACCTCTGTAAATTAATAATTTTGTAGAAAGCAATTTACTGAAAGGACTTCACTCTTAACGTGGGAAAAGTACGATATTCAGAAGAATAAGAAGGAGAGTACGAGGATGATGCAGATAAAGGTTTGCAAAGAAGCTAAGTCAGTATTTGTATTAAAGGGATTTTGATATTAAAGCAGCTTTCAAACTAAGAAAACACAATTGTATAATAATAAGACGAATTTATGGACATGTTGAATATTCGAAGGTTTGTATGTCGAGCCAAAACCTAAACTACAGTGGAACTGAAAATTGTACAGGGGATTTAATAGACGTTTCTTGTAATTAATTGGATTTAATAGTGATGATAATAATAATTAACGTCTTTTATTTGTAATATTCTTACAGGAGGCGAGATTTAGATTATATATCTATTCTACCATCTAACCCCTTAACAATATGAGATGTAAAAAAAAGTATAATCCAAGTAAATACATAAGGAAAATATGAGGACACTTATGGGTTACAACCGATTTCGCTGCTGTTCAAGAAGAACTTCTTTCACTTTTTTCTTGAATTTGGATGATGGATTGGTTTCTTTTAAACTGCGGTCTTTTTTTTTTATATTCCAACTACCACGAAGGCCTAAGGCCTAAACACCTCTAAAGAATTATATGATTTGATCGCATTGTAAATGTATGTATTCTGAAATAGAGACGTGCTGTGGCGTGGAACTGAAAAAGTCTCTCTATGTCTAATATTAATACGATGCATATTTCCTCTACGTATGAATTATTTGTTTACTAAATATGACGGTGTTTTTGAATAAAGAACCTTATGAGTCAGATTTAGGAGCTGGTACTTATATATTTTATCAATTTTCACCCATTTGAGTTCATTAATGGCATTCGATATATGATCATATTTTCCGAAATCATTTACAAGTCAGCAACATGTATTCATAATACTTTAAACACGATTTCTTGTTATAATATCTATATAGGGATAGTAAACCACTAAGCAATACGACATCTTTGAAAACACGAAATATTCACACAATTGCTTTCTCGCAGATTTATGTAATATAGCCTTATTTGCAAATAAAACTCTGAGAATAGCGTAGCACTGAGTAATTAGATAGTTCACGTGTGCAACAAATTTTAAGTCATCATCCATTATAATACCTAGGTTTTTCGAATGATCCACAGGAATTAATTTATTACCTTTTAAATGTATGTCTATGTCCTTTTTTAAGGTATTCTTGTTTGTTCTATTTGCATATATCAACATATTTGTCTTCAAAGGGTTCAAACGAAGATTATGACTACTACTGAACTTTTAAATTTGGGCAAGATCTTGATCAATTTTATTATTTGCCGTCATTACTCCTAAATAAATAGAAAATTTGAGTATCATTTGCAAAAAAATGTATGCTGCATGATTTTACCTCTGTTTCTAAATCTGAGATATATAATGAAAATAATAGCGGTCCTAAGACTGATCCCTGTGGTACACCAGAACAAATTTTTAATTTGGGATTCAAGGAAACACAGTTTCCTATTACGAGGATGGCGACGTTTCGGAATAACTTATTTGCCTCTTCAGGGCTCTACAAAACAAAATAAAACACTTTACATGTATATTAACGAATAATTTAAAGAATGGAAGCGATGTAAAAATACTTATTGTAGTTGAGATATCATGCAAAATAAACTATTAAAACACATCCCTAAATTTTATTATCAATATAGCAATGCTCGACATAGACACATAGAAATAAAACAAAGAGAAATTGATTCGCATTTTAGTTAGATATTCAAAACGTATGAATACTTGTCTTCGTTTTTTATCAGAATAAAGAAAACTACAGCTAACTCATCGTTTTAGTTAGAAGCTGTGGTGGTCAAACAACAATCCAACGTTAAACCCATCCTAGATATTATCATTTAGACTGCAACTTATCAATAAATGGTGAAAATATGATCTATTTTTCGGGATATTTGATGATTTGCCTTTTTGGGGCTGATAAATATCATCTGGTGGTCTTTACTTTATTTTTATGAAATTAATTATGTATTATTACGAATACCAGTTAAATATGCTAGGTTGGTTATCTTATTAACTCCATTATTGTGTCTTTTGATTTTCATCATTTCCTGAATAACATTTCTGCAAAGGACCTCGTAAGTATCTAAACTCAACACATGACATTCTTAAAACTTGTGTTGTGTTTAGGAGCAAACTCCTACAGTCTCTTTTGTATTCTGATATTCGGATTTTTAAGTACCTTTTTGTTGACCTATAAATATTTTATTAGAATCGCAACACTAGCTTGTCGTTCTGTTGGAATTGTGTCCTCAAGTTTACTAAGAAATTATTGCTGATTGTAGTTTCACTTTTATACATAATCCTAACTGTATCTGAACGTAAAACACTCGCCGATATCTCCGACAAATTCTGGCTTCCGCGTTATTGCCCAAATCCAATTAATTACAAGAGATTCATATAAATAAGAGTCATTAGAAGGATAATTTTCTATTCTATAGATCGTCAAAAGTTCAAATCGATTAGGCAAACCTCCCCTATAACTCCCTTGAATTCCAGCCTAAATCTGTCAACCGCGACCAGTAGAATCATTTAAAATCATAACGTCTACCACTACAAGTCAAGCGGAGGAACAGGTAGGAAAAGTTAGCTCGAAACTCACCTTCCTCCTCAGCAAAGACGAATAGGGCCATTAAGGCAACCACTGCAAAGACGCTAAGTAAGACTTTCATTTTGACTTGTTGGATCGTTGATCTACTGTTATTGTGTGAAAGGACGTTTTGAGAGCGGTGTAGGGTTTTTGTAGGCACCGAGTGTACGTTCAAGTGGAATTTTTTAATTTCTTTTAGATAAACATATTTTTTCCAGATATTTAATTTAGTACTTACGTTATTTTAAGTATATTTTTAATGTTTGTTCTAATGAGTGCTGATACATACAGGGTGGCGCATCGAAAACGAAAAAGACGCATTTACTTGCAGCTCAGTTTTTTTTAATAACGCTCGATTTTGTTGTGAGGGGGACACAAGTTTGGCAAAAAATCACGTTAGCACGTGCAGCCCCCTAAGCGGGGGTGACACCACCCCAAACTCTTCAAAAGGGGGGTCGAGTGATACCTTATTTTAAAGGTCTTTCAATTCCCTTTATAATGATATAAAATTAATGTACTTCAGTTCAGTAGTTTTGAAGATTTATTGATTTAAAGCTTAAATAAAACTAATACATCATCATTAGTGGAGATCAATACTTGGCAGCAAAGTAATTTAAAAATGAAGAATGAACTGACCCGTTAGGCAAGTAAATGTTGAAAATGGCCACCATGACTCTCCATGCAATAATAAAGAATTTGATCAAAACGTTGCCGCACATTTTGCAATATTTGAGGAGTAATTCACAATTCTTTGACGCAGGTCTTCTAATGACGTTGGCTGAGTAGCATAGATAGATAAATAGATAGATAGATAGTTTATTGTCCTATTAGATCATGTTACATGATATAAGACTTGTCAATGTCAATTTGAGGGTCATATATGCGTTTGAGCAAATTTGCCGGAAAAATACTTATAATTATAAAATAAATAAGGACATTACAATTACAAAGCATTTTAACAGGTTAAATCACATTATAGGTACAGCGCAAGAATCGCAATGTGTTCAATCAGTAACAGTAAAAATATATACATATACAGCGACCTTTTTTATCACAAAAAATGTTCGTCTAGCCGGTAAAAATCATTGAAGCTGATACAAAGAGAAGCGGTAGGAGAATCTGTTAGAAATACATAATATATGAACACAATAAACATCGAGCAGTGAGGACAAATGGTTAAAAGCTTAAAAAGAAATCATCCATACTTTCGTTAAAACTCGAATAAAAAGTGAAATTAATATACATTTACTCCACGATAATAGAAAATTCACTGATAACGAATGATTAACAGCTTAAAAGATTTAAGAAACAGATACTTTCATGTGTTAGTAAAACTCATGTAGAGAGTAAAAGCATTTTTCAACCAGATATTTCCTGAGATGGTTTTTCAGCGCAAAGTAGTACAAACTAATGTACCTGATAAAATCTACTATAAGCTTTAAATCAATAAATCTTCAAAACTACTGAACTGAAGCTCATGTATTTTACGTCATTATAAAGGGAATCGAAAGACCTTTAAAATAAGGTATCACTCGACCCCCCTTTCCATTTAAGTCTTTGGGGGTGGTGTCACCCCCGCTTAGGGGGCTGCACGTGTTAACGTGATATTTTGCCAAACTTGTGTCCCCCTCGAAAAGCAAAATCGACGGGTCTGAACGTTTTTCAAAAAAAAAACTGAGCTGCGCCATCCTGTATAATACCTTATAGTCACTGCTATGAGTGTTTTTGTTTCTGTAATTATTATTATCTATTGAATCAACTCAACTACTATACTTTGTTATATAATCATATCAGTTGGTGACCTTCACACTTTTCATGAGTGGTAATTCAGATAATATCCGATTACCCCCAAAAACCTAGCTGCCACGCATTTTCTAGATAAGAGGTTTTAAAATATTCCAGGGTATCAGAAAAGCAATTTGACCCGAAATATGATTTTGACAATGACCTCATGTTTCATTTGACGGTCAACTTTGTAAATTTAAATGACAATCACCATTTTCGACAAAACATTCGTGTCGAGCTCGAAATTCTTCACGAGAATTTATCAGGCTCGGTCTAGGGTGAAAAGTTGACAGAAAACTGTTTATCCGGGCTAGCCGTCATTTCTAGCACTGTATAGACACCAAATTTGGACTGTGTTTTAGATGTCTTTTATTAGTCGTTTTTGACAAAGTTGAATGCTTGCCAGAATCTCGAAAACGAGGCATTTTCGGACTGAATGGGCCATGGATTCGGTTTCAGCGACCCAAAATGACAAGTTTCGCTAACGTTCCCGACTGACCCATTTTGTGCCTTTTAGGTAACAATACATGTAAATTATATGTTAAAATGCTTTAAATGCGGTTCAAACGACCTTTATTCCACGCATTTTGGGCAGTCAATAACGAATCCGAAGTCGATTCACGTCTGATTCCGTTTACCGTTTATCGAGATCGTTCTCGAACAGATCGCTCACCGCATTGTTTGCCGCTGCTTGTGTTTATGAGAGTTTACAAAATTTACGGAAGCTTCTATGGTTATTAAACCTTCTTAAAATATGTTGTGATCCACCAGAATTGCCTCTACGAGCTACCGGTAGCTCGTGATCGACGGTTAGGCGACCACTGGTATAGATCGTACAGCTTCGGGCAAAGGAGCTACGAACCGCCCTCAGTAGTATCATCTCTGAAGCAGGAAAATAAGTTATGGTGTTTGAATCTCATATAACTTTACACCACGTAAGGCCATGACATCCATTTCCGCCTGTCTGTCTGTCGGTCCGCTAATCATTGGCCTTTTAGTTAACTTAGAAAGTCCTGCTTGGGATTTGGATGGAACTCTTACACAAGGTGACTACTATTTCAAGAACAAATAAGCTTTCTGATTTTTGAAAACTAGTTCAGTGGCGACGAAGGGAATGTCCACAATCATTGTTTTTTATTCCAGAGGACTTAGGAATAATGTTCAAGGATAAACAAAATTGGTGATGCGGTTGTAAAAACCACAGATGACATATTTTCTTCATTTTGCGACAGCCACATTTCCATTGTACATGACTAAGGCCCTTTTATAACATATTTACTTCAAATATATTACTGTCGCACCCTAAACGTGCCCATTTTAACCGCAAACAGTATTAAGACATTTTCTTCCTTATATTCTATATGTTTCCCTTGTATTGGTATAAAAAATAATCCCAATCTTCTCCCGACGGGTTCCTGAACACTTTGGAAGAAACTTGAATTTCTAAATGCCATTAACAATATTGCAACCGTTGTAGCCTCATATCTCTGCGCTATATAGTTGAAAAGGTGTTGGTGGAGTAGAAAAGACGTATAACAGCGTATTTTCAATAAACTAATTTATTTTACATTCCTGTATAATAAGAAGTGATGAATTATCCAATGCTCTACAATGGGAAACATTGACATTTTCCTTGGACGCAAAAACCAAATGTATAAGACTGCTCTTTGCAGCTATCATAGCAGTCCTCATCGTTGCATTTTTTTCCAGCAAGACTGTCAAATCCTTGGAATAGCCTTGGCGCCACCTCTGTAATATAAATAATTTTGTAGAAAGCAATTTAATGAAAGGACTTCACTCTTAAACGTGGGAAAAATACGATATTCACCTTATCCACCTGACATTTCTGTAGTGTCTTATGGAGAAAAGGGAAAATATGAAGGAGAGTACGACGATGATGGTGATAAAGGTTTGCAAAGAAGCTAATTCAGTATTTGTATTAAAGGGATTTTGATACTAAAGCAGCTTTCAAGCTAACAATACACAATTGTATAATAATCAGACGAACTTATGGACATGTTTAATATCCAAAGGTTTGTATGTCGAGCCAAAACCAAAACTACAGTGGAAGTAAAAATTTTATAGGGGATTTAATAGACGTTTCTTGTAGTTAATTGGATTTGGGATTCAAGGAAACACAGTTTCCTATTACGAGGATGCCGACGTTTAGGAATAATTTATTTGCCTCTTCAGGGCTCTACAAAACAAAAATAAAACACTTTGCTACTACTACTAAAAATACTTATTGTAGTTAAGATATTATGTAAAACAAACTATTAAAACACATCCCTAAATTTCATTATCAATATAGCAATGCTCGGCAAAGACACACATAGAAATACAAGAAAGACAAAATGATTCGTATTTTAGTTAAATGTTCAAAACGTATGATTGTTTTTGTTTTTTTATCAGAATAAAGGAAGTTATAGCTAACTCATCATTTTAGTTAGAAGCTGTGGTGGTCCAACAACAATCCTAGATATTATCATTTAGACTGCAACTAATCAATAAATAGTGAAAATTTGATCTATTTTTCGCGATATTTGATGTTTTGCCTTTTTGGGGCTGATAAATATTATCTGGTGGTCGTTACTTTATTTTCATGAAATTAACGATGTATTATTATAAATATATCCTAACAGTTAAATATGCTAGGTTGGTTATCTTATTAACTCCATTATTGTGTCTTTTGATTTTCAACATTTCCTAAATATCATTTCTGCATAGGACCTCGTAAGTATCAAAGCTCAGTACATGACATTCTTAAAACTTGTGTTGAACTAGGAGGAAATTCTTACAGTCTCTTTTCTATTCTGATATTCGGATTTTTAAGTACCTTCTTTTTGTCCTATAAATATTTCATTAGAATCACAACACTAGCTTGCCGTTTTGTTGGAATTGTGTCCTCAAGTTTACTAAGAAAATATTGCTGATTGTGGTTTCATTTTTATACACAAACCTAACTGTATCTGAACTTAATACACTCGCCAATATCTTCGACAAATTCCGGCTTCCGCGTTATTGCCCAAATCCAGTTAATTACAAGAAATTCATATAAATAAGAGTCGTTAGAAGGATAATTTTCTATTCTATAGAGGTTAGGATCGTCAGAAGTTCAAATCGACTAGCCATACTTCCCCTTAACTCCCTTGAATTCCAGCCTAAGTCTGTCAACCGCGACCAGTAGAATCATTTAAAATCATAACCTCTACCACTACAAGACAAGCGGAGGAACAGGTAGGAAAATTTAGCTCTAAACTCACCTTCTGCCTCAGCAACGACGAATAGGGCCATTAAGGCAACTACTGCAAAGACACAAAGTAAGAATTTCATTTTGAATTGTTGGATCGTTGATCTACTGTTATTGTGTGAAAGGACGGTTTGATGCTATACAAAACCTGAGAGTTGTGTAGGGCTTTTATAGGCACCGAGTGTACGTTCAAGTGGATTTTTTCATTTCTTTTTGATAAACATATTTATTCTAGATATTTAAATTAGTACTTACGTCATTTTAAGTATCTTTTGTAACTGTTATGAGTGTTTTTGTTTCCTGTAATCATTATTAATCCGGAAAGCACTTATCTATTGAATCAACTCATCTGCTATACTTTGTTATAAAATCATATCAGTGGGTGACCTTCACACTTTTAATGAGTGGTAATTCAGATTATGTCCAAATACCCCGAAAACTTAGCTTCCACTTATTTTCTTGATAAGAGGTTTTAAAAAATTCCAGGGTATCAGAAAAGCAATTTGACCCTAAATATGATCTTGACCATGACCCCAGGTTTCATTTGACCGTCTACGTGGTAAATTCAAATGACAACCACCATTTTCGACAACACATTCATGTCGAGCTCGAAATTCTTCACGAGAATTCATTTTCACACATTAAGTCAAGCGGTCATAAGTAGTTCAATGATTTTGACCTGCTGTTACGTCTAAAAGTACACGAACATCCAGAAAACCTGGCAACCTTGCTTCTGACGTCTAGTCCATTTTCTTAGGATTCTTTCAATGTTCTGTGTTCTTGTTTATACTACAGGGTGGGGCAAAAGTCGCGAAGGGATTTGAAAAATTAATAACTTTTTTAAATTTTAATTTTAATTTTTTTCCCTAACACAAAACTAAAATGCAATGTTTGGAGTTTGTTTACAATTTAAGTGTGAAAGATTACATCACGCAAATGACCGCCATTTTCAGCCTCGCAAAGTGCAGCTCTTGCAAGAGCATTTTCCATTACCCGAGTCAGAATATCTGGCCCCAAAGCACTTACTTTTGCTCGAATATTATCTTTTAGTTGCTGCAGGGTTGTGGGTTTATTAATATACACTTTTCCTTTCAGATATCCCCAAAGGAAATAATCAGGGGCTGTTAAGTCCGGCGAGCGGGCGAGCCAATTGAATCCTGAATTTCTCGAAATTAAACGTTCGCCAAAAATCTGCCTTAGAAGGTGCATAGTGGCTCGAGCAGTATGCGCAGTGGCTCCATCTTGTTGGAAAGTCATCGTTTGATTGTCAGCAAGAGCTGGTCTCAAGAAATTTTGAATCATATCACGATATCGGTCGCCATCTACAGATACAGCATTCCCATCGTGGTCTTCGAAGAAGAATGGTCCAATAATTCGTTGAGACGTAACTGCGCACCATACTGTACATTTAAGCGGATGTAATTGCCTTTGATGAACCACCCTTGGGTTCTCGGTACCCCATATTCTGCAGTTCTGCTTATTTACGAAGCCATTCAAATGAAAATGGGCTTCATCGCTCATGATCAGAGAATGAATAAATTCATTATCTTCTCGAGCCATTCTTTGCAAGCGAACTGCATAAGTTAGTCGTTCTTGAAAATCTGCTGGTTTTAGTTCTTGCACTAGCTGCACTTTATATGGAAACAGATGTAAATTTCCTCTTAATATTCTGCGTAAAGACCTTTGAGACATCTGCAGCTCAGCAGAACGTCTTCGGGTTGAGGTTTCCGGATTCTCCTGAACACTCTCCTGAACGCGTTGAATGTTCCCTTCATTTCTTGCGGAACGTGGCCTTCCACTTCGTGGGAGATCCATAACTGTGCCTTGTTGCTGAAATCGTGCCACTAAGCGTCGAATCATTGATTCAGAGGGCGAATTCCGCAAATTGAAATGACGACGATATGCTCGTTGAGTTTGAATTATTGAATGGTGATATTCAAAATAAAATTCTATAAGTTTGGTTCGTTGATTGAGGTTGTAACGCTCCATAATTAATCTCCAGGATTTATTTTACACGGTCCTGAAAAAAAAAAATGAAAACAAAATAAATTTAAAAAAGTTATTAATTTTTCAAATCCCTTCGTGACTTTTGCCCCACCCTGTACTTCTACGCTGGTTTGCATCAGGAATGCAACAGAAAGTAGCAGTTTCTATGTACTTGGCTGTATCTAGATCAAAATACCTAACTCAATTTTCACTTTTTTTTTTGGCACACTGAGATAATTCCACAAGCCGCATTTCATAGTTCTTGGATTGATGCATCAGGGTCAGTCAAGATGGATTTGACATAATCAATGGCAAATACAAAAGCGTTTGAATTTTTTCGCAGTAAACTCCATTGTCATCCCTGTCAGTTCTTTCTTACATGTAAGGGTCTTCATATTACTCTGCAATCAAGTAAGTACTAGATATAGGTATATATATATATACAGGGTGACTTCGAAGTTGAGTCATTTATTTTAACAGTGAGTAGATCTGATCAAAAGAAATGTTTTTTCCCTTTACCATTTTTCTGGTAAAATTAAAGTAACAAAGTTATAGCCCTTTGGAAGTTTGAGTATCGCCCTGTCTCAATGATAATATTATGTGCTCGTGTTTGGCAACAACGGATATAATCCGCCATCGGTTCATCGCATAGGAAACAAAAAAGCGAAAGAATTTGGAACGATGTTTTTACAATTATTTTATTCAGTTGTGTTGTATACAGTCAGTGTCAGTCGGTAACGCGTTAGTGAATAGTGGTGTCTGTTGCGTGGCTCAAACGAAATGAAAAATGGCACATGTTTATGCCGATCGATTTCCCAATCGAGAGCAAACCAACCCCTCGTGCCTTTGTTAATGTAGTACAACGGGCTCGTGAATCAGGTGACTTAAGACGGCATGCCGGTGCTCCAAGACCTCGCGATCAGATACAGGTCCGCACTGAAATACTTGTCGGGAGGATACTTTATAAAACAAGGTAATTTTTTTTTTAATTTTTTTTATTTATACACACATATTTTGGTTTATCTTCCTTCTACAGTCATTATCTGAAAATTAATGACTCAACTTCAAAGTCACCCTGTATACAGTAGAAGGAAGATAAACCAAAATATGTGTGTAAAAATAAAAAAAAAATAAAAAAAAAAATTTTACCTTGTTTTATAAAGTATCCTCCCGACAAGTATTTCAGTGCGGACCTGAATTTGATCGTGAGGTCCCCTGTGAGGTCTTAAGTCACCTGATTCACGAGCCCGTTGTACTACATTAACAAAGGCACGAGGGGTTGGTTGCACTCGATTGGGAAACCGATCCGCATAAACATGTGCCATCTTTTTATTTCGTTTGAGCCACGCAACAGACACTATTTACACGCGTTACCGACTGACACTGACTGTATGTATAACTGAACTGAATAAAATAATTGTAAAAACATCGTTCCAAATTCGATAAGGCGGATTATATCCGTTGTTGCCAAACACGAGCGCATGATATTATTATTGAGACAGGGCGGTACTCAAACCTCCAAAGGGCTATAACTTTGTTACTTTAATTTTACCAGAAAAATGGTAAAGGAAAAAAAAATTCTTTTGATCAGATCTACTCACTGTTAAAATAAATGACTCAACTTCGAAGTCACCCTGTATATATATATATATAACAAAAATAGGAAAGTAATGGACAAAATCCGCAAAAAGTGGATTCGAGCAGACAATAGGATAGGTAACCCGAGCGATACGTATTTCTGCTGGTTGGCTTCATCAGGCTCGAAATGAATGCACATATGCAACTACAAAAGTAGAGACACATGCCCATACATCCGGATACGGGTGTAACCTGAGAAAACAAAGATGGAGAGGAAAAAAAGACACACGAAGACCACAACAATAGCCAACCTACACATTGTAGTATAAAATCGCCAGAAGACCTCGAATTTTCAAGGCGACAAATAACCACAACCACGCAGCCGATTATAGCCACTTGCTGTGGTACTTCAAGCCCAAAGGATCTACAAAGAGAAAATTATCATGCAGAGAAAGGTATATAACAAAAATAGGAAAGTAATAGACAAAATCCGCAAAAAGTGGATCTGAGCAGAAAATAGGATAGGTAACCCGAGCGATACGTATTTCTGCTGGTTGGCTTCATCAGGCTCGAAATGAATGCACATATGCAACTACAAAAGTAGAGACACATGCCCATACATCCGGATACGGGTGTAACCTGAGGAAACTAAGATGGAGAGGAAAAAATGACACAACAAGAGCCAACCTACACATTGTAGTATAAAATGGCCAGAAGACCTCGAATTCTCAAGGCGACAAATAACCACAACCACGCAGCCGGTTATAGCCACTGGCTGTGGTACTTCAAGCCCAAAGGATCTACAAAGAGAAAATTATCATGCAGAGAAAGGTATATAACAAAAATAGGAAAGTAATAGACAAAATCCGCAAAAAGTGGATCTGAGCAGAAAATAGGATAGGTAACCCGAGCGATACGTATTTCTGCTGGTTGGCTTCATCAGGCCCGAAATGAATGCACATATGCAACTACAAAAGTAGAGACACATGCCCATACATCCGGATACGGGTGTAACCTGAGGAAAGAAAGATAGAGAGGAAAAAAAGACACACGAAGTCCACAACAAGAGCCAACCTACACATTGTAGTATAAAATGGCTAGAGCGACCCCGAATATTCAAGGCGAAAAATAACCACAACCACGCGGCCTGTTATAGCCATACTTTTGTAGTTGCATATGTGCATTCATTTCGGGCCTGATGAAGCCAACCAGCAGAAATACGTATCGCTCGGGTTACCTATCCTATTTTCTGCTCGAATCCACTTTTTGCGGATTTTGTCCACTACTTTCCTATTTTTGTTATATACCTTTCTCCGCATGGATATATATATATATATATATATATATATATAGGTGAAAAATTAAAGCTTCCGCCTTTTGTTGGGTACTTCGACAAAATTTAAGCAAAGAGGACTCTTTATAC